ACCTCTAAACGTAAAGATCTGTTGCATTCTTAAGATCAAAAATTTACCTCATTTGTAGGTATAACTTCCTTATTAGAAAATTAAAAGTAAAATAAGATGGACAGGAGTGAGGCCGCCCGGAAGAAAAGTCTCCGGCGTTCATATTCGACATATATTTTCCAGAGCAGCTTGCAACACTTATTACTTTTACTTGTTGTTGTCGGCCATTATACTTCTCAAATAAATTGATTTATGTTGTCGTTTATCCTTCCACATATATCTTGTGTGCTTTAAGAGGATGTTTAGAAAAATGGCACATCTAGTTTATAAAAAATGTCCTTGCTTGTCAAATACAGTTGATGTGTTGACTATCCTAAATTTAGACTGACGTGTTTGCGTTGATTTTTAATTGATGACTTTAATGTAGATGGAATGGTAAGGTGGAAAGAGGCAATGACGGAACGTTGATGTGCTCACATATTTATGGAATTTATGATCTGTTGTTCATGTCAATATCTTTTACTCGCTTATGAAATATTATCTACTTTTTCTTCTTTCGACACCCTAAACATAAACAAATAGCTATTTCATTGAAGTCCTTTACAAACTTATTTAACGCTATTCTGAATTATTTAAATTATCATAAATACAATTTCTTTCTTTTAACGCATCTTATAATTTGCAAACAACCAGAACGACGATGGGTGCATCTGTATTGTTAACAAGATTCGAAGTATAAAGTCTCGAAATGGTTTGTTATTTGTTTATTGTATTTGTAGTTCTGCTTGCGTTAGTACACGGAATTACATACTTTTGGAACTTTAACATTATTCGAATAAAGTCCTTCAGAAATTACCAGAAAAAAGAGATTAAATTTTTTTATTCCTATTTATCTACACAAATTAAATCTTTGTCTGCATAGTTCTAATTTGAACTCTGATTGGTTGCACAGTGTATTTGTTCCTTCCGTAGAAGCGACCGCAATCTGTTACACTGTCGAAGTAAACATCGAGGAAACCATTTACCCCACACTTTAACTTGTGTTATACTTAGTTGTTCTCACATAAAAGCAAAATTAGGGTAAGCAACACACTTCCTCAAATTGACAAGACTTGTCCATCAAATGTATAAATCAAAATTGTATGAAAATACAGTGCTCCTACCAAATCTTGTTTCACAAAATTAACAATAAAAAACAGCTTGCACGTCTGTGGGTGACTAGTGTATCAAATGTCTATCCTATTAACGTATCATCTTTATGACAAATCGCACAAAAGCAACAGTCGTTATTCACTCATAGTAATAAATGAAGTTTGCATAATTGTGTCCACCAACATAATTATAATTTCGAAAAGGAGCATAGTACGCATAATATTACTGCATTTCTCCAACTGAATCGTGTGATAATAACGCGATTAAAATACCGCCAAACAATGAAAGCACTATTTCAGAACCATATTTTACTGCAAATATATTTTTGCTTGCCATTGTCCCCGTATAAGCGCTAAGATTAATTTACCGAGTATAATGTGACATTATACTGACGTGCAGAAACCTATTATTGTTATCTGTAAAAGTGATATAAAGGGTTCATATATTTGTCAACTTGACATCTCATTTTCAAACAAGATTTAACTTTAAAAATTGTTTGCAGGTGTGTCTCGAAGTTATTCCTTATAAACTTTTTAATTTAAAATAACCTAAAGATAAGATGACACTCATAACGAAAACTTTCTGAGACGGAACAGAAAGATTAATTAAAACCAAATATTTTGTGTGAGACATAACTAGTCAAAGACACTGTAATTGTCATCTGCATATCTTCAGCTGTACAATAAAAGAACTGAAAACTGCGATCTGTAACAATCTAATTTTATGAAAGATATAAATATGATTTTTGTCTTTGAGTTTTTTCTTTTTCTAATAATTAATGAAAAATGAATGATATCGAGGGGTGCGCGCTTAGTGACTCACCCTGTACACCTTTAGAGATTAGTGAATTAGATTAGAACATCAATCAAAATTAAAACAAACATAAAAAACCTAATTAAGAATAAAAATCTTACGGTTTGGAAGTTTTGACCACTTTAAAAATTGTTTTACTAATTTAGAAATTAAGCTTCCACTTATCAAAATAACAAGAATAACGAAAAGCTACCGTATGTAATGAATTCTGTAGGCCCCCAAATGTCAAATGGTAAACAAATGGTTATCAGTCTGTCAGTATTAATAAAATGATACTACCAATTTTTAAAATAACGTCATGAGGTCGGAGAGGGAATGATACGATATTGTTTTGAGGTGACCCCAACTTACGTATTTTTTCTTTCACCTTTTCAGCAGCTTCCAAATAAATAAAAAATCAAATATACTTATCTTTTAAATTTTTACTAGAAAAGTGTGTTCCGTCGAAGTATTTTAACTCGCTAAAAAGTCAGAAAACCGCGCTAGACAATAGATCACGCTAAAACCGGTTAAGGGTTTTGTGGAAGGAAGGCTCAAACAAAAGAGTTTCCTAGATGATCAATAACAAAAAACGGGTCTAAAATACTTTAGACGGAACTGATGCCCTCACCCTAAATAACCAAGTTCATTTTCTTAGGTAAATTATAAAATTTGATACCGCCCATTTTATTTTATTTTTTATGATAGCCCCTATAAAATAAAATAAAAACTGGGATGGACTGTTGAACTATGGCTAAAGGAGCATGTTGTGCGTCAATATGTTTCAAATGAGATTTTCTAAATAAAATTTTTGATGACGTCAGAAACCCTTTAACAGGGACAAATATATCAATTTGTGTAGGTACAGTATACTACTACTAAGAATGGTCCTGTGTTCTCAGAATTTGAAGAAAATTCTAAAATAAGTCGTTTTTTATTTAATTACTAATTACTTCATTAATACATTTTTTGAGACTTCCTGTATAAATACTTGTAAAAAACAGAAGTGTAAGAGACATAGATGTGTAGAAGGATAACGCTCTCCACCTTTTAAATGAGATTTAGTTCACATCATTTTGAGAAGACAATTTCAAGTCTGTGGAACCGATAAACAAATAAATTAACCTTAAAACGTATGCAAAATTTCAGAGTAATCGGTTTTGTAGTTTAACAACAATAAACAGTAAAATTTTGTTTATTATTTTGATTTTTTTTCCGAAAACCTAGGTGAACAAGGTTTAATACGGCTGAATAATTAATAAACTACAGGTGAACAGACAAATTTTGACCTACATAATATTCTTAAAATAAATCAAAAATTTTACAGTAATCTGTGTGGTAATTTTGGCTATTTATCTAATGATAATGAAATCTCCAACAATCAAGAGACAAACGATAAACAGACGAGAACAGAAGAAGAAATCCTTTTTCATAATCTACGAGCTAATTTATTTATTTTTTTTTTTTGTGAAAATCTAGATCTCCAGGGTTCATTCATAAACCACAAGTACAAGAGTCTATTATTTATAGCATTTAAATAACATTTACTTCTACACGATATTCCTGAAATCCCTTCTGATGCTTATTCTATCTTAGCTTCTTGCTATTTTTAGTTTTCGATTTACATAATTCACTTAAGAAAATCCCAAAATTGTATTTTATCAAATGCAACACAAAGATTTTTTACATTAGAGGAGGAAAATCCCTTTTAGAGTCTTAACCCAGGTACCTAATTATAAAATCTTTCTTAGAGAAATTAGAAAAAGAATAATGAGCAGCACCAATTAAATGAACGTTCTAAAACCTCTTGGTGAGTAACAAAAGAAAAATCTAGTGTAATTTTATAGTGGGCCCCTTGGTACAACAACATACGACTTAATCAATCACGTAATAATTGAAAACTTCATCATCTGGCTTCGCTTGTTTGCTAAGGTATAATTCATTTATTAAGAAGTGAAAATACAGGCAGTTAAAACAAAATTTAATGAATATTGAACAGCCTACACCAAACGCATAAAAAGTGTAATCGTGGTAGCTATGAAACTGCAGCCAAAGTTTGAAAATGCAAACACTGCCACCGAGGCGATACTGGGATAATTAACTCTAACCGTAATATCACTACTTTGTTTCAAATAACAAAGGAATGCGTTATTCATTGATAGCTTCATCATTCGATCAGTACGAAAGATGATAGAACACAAGTCTCTAGAGGATTAATTAAAAAAATAATTTCATGTTTTAATCACATTCCCAAACTGTTGCATATCATAAGTTAAATTTGTGATAATTTTCGAAAACACAACATTGTAACAAATGTATTTCCTATTAATACCTAATCTCGATAGATTTTAAATTTTAAGTTACATGTATACATAGTACCTACCTTTTACAACAAAATTTGCCTGAATGAGAGTTGTGGTACATAATTTTAACATATGTAAAAACTAGATCTATAGTCTTAGTAGTTTTTGTCATCAAAGTAGCTAGGCTGTCTTGATCATTTACAGTTTCACACAATCTTTTCTTTCGGAAGACTTTCAGACTCCAACTTCCTTTGTGTTTAATATTACGATTACCAATATTACTCGTTAGTATGTTTCACTTATTTAATGTCGTTCCAAACATGTTCTTTTTATATTGAAATTCATATCCTACATATAATCTCCACACTGTTTTAATAGTAGTTATAGGCAACCAATAATACGCCTAGATGTTTTCGAAACTCGTCGAAACCTTTTGACTGTTTTATTTTAAATGAATACAGAAAAGTAGAAAATTTGCTGAAAAATCTCACCTTCAAGAAACTTTACTCATCTGAAAAACTGTAACCAATCAAATACAAGGATTTCTCCTTTTCATTTTTACTACTTGTAGAATACGCCCCCTACCAGTCAACCAATAGTCAACTCCAAATACAAAAAAATCATTCAAATTTATTTCACTATATTGTTCGATCTTCTGCTAACCATTAATGTACATATATGGAAGTGGGTGTACGTAGGAACGTGTAAAATCTACATACAATCCTGCCAGTTTTATGAAACAATATGTTTTTTATTGTCACTACAGTATTGCTGACAAAATAAAAACGCTTACATTAAATACAGTGTAGATACCTTTAATTAGTAAAAACTAAACAGAAAAATTCTAGCATTATACATAGTATATTAATTTATTTTTATCAATATTTACATAGGTACATAAGAACTAATATATACATTTTATACAAAGATATATTCTATTTTTTTGGGATATATCATAATGAATACAATTTTACCTCAAAAGAAATTATTTTCTTATGAAATTCAGCTATTGGTAATGCTCGCAAGATTGTATAAAAACCTCTACTATTTTTTATCTTAAATTTTTTGGTAATATATTCGCGGGCACGATTTCTTGCAAGTTCAAGTAAAGTTGGAACTGGAAATCCTTGCATTAGTCTAAATTTTGGTAAAGTAAAATACTGAGAAATTTCATAAGCAATTGGTTCATCATAAGTTTTGGAAATAACAGACTCAGCAGATAAATTTATATCAAAGAGTAATCGGGAGAAGACACATTCCTCCTTGCCTGCATATCTCTCCATCTCTTTAATGTCCATATGAAGCATTATTTTGAACAAATCACAATAACCAAACGAAACGTAAAGAACATTTAAAGCATCAGCGTTAATATCTATTCCATAACTCAACATACAACATAGAATCTGACAGAGAAGATCTACTGATTCTCTGCGTTCAGCAAAATATTTGATTAATCTTGTTGGTAATGCTAAAAAACTGGCATTAATTCCTTGGACAAAAGTATCTGAAACACTGCTCTCCAACAATATAAACAAATTCTGAGTATAATTATGCAAATGGTTTAGATCTGGAAAAAAAAAGTCATCTAGGCGACACCTACATAACATTTCCTCTAAAATATAATCACATTCTTGTGTAAATAGCCTCCACATTTTTGGATTTAAGAAAGAAAACTTTCGAATTAATGCCATCAATTCATCACATGTGAAGTGTATATCACAGGTAATTTCAATTAATTTATAAAAAATTGGCGATCCTTTTTCCATTGCTTCGATAAAAGTAAAAAGACTAAAATTCTTTTCATAACAATAAAACGGATCCAGAAAAATTTCCAGTGTTGGATACGTGGTAAGCTGTTTTACAACTAAATCGAAAAAAGTCAAATGCATATATATACGTCCATTTTCATTTGCAAAACAATGTACACATTTATTATTTGGGTTAGCTCCATAAAACAGCAACATCCAAAGAATGTCGATGTCGCCTGTTTTAACAGCTAAATGTAAGGTAGTTTCTACATTGTCGTTTCGATACTCTATATTAATACCTCTTTCAATTAATAATTCAGCTACCTCTATCCATTTATTTTTAACAGCCAAATGCAAAACTTTACTACCACGAGGATAAAAACAATCAACTCTGCAGCCTGATTCTATCAAACGACTGGCATAAATTTCTCCACTATTAATTCTAAAAGCCTCCTGTATTGGAGTTCTTGGAACAGAATTGAAGTCATCTTTAGTGATAACATCATCCAAAGTGAGCAGGTATTCAAAAGTATCCAATCTGAAAAGCCGACTTAACTAAAATACTTTACAATTGCGTATAAAACATACTTGGCATGATTTTGAATGGCCAAATGAAAAACTGTGTTACCATCTTCATCACACATATTGAAATCTGTACCACATTTATGTAGTAATTTGAGACGAGGTACATCATTGTTTTGTATAGCCTCAATTACTTCTAAGGAAAGGTAATATTGTTCTAGCTCCTAAAAATTATCACTGAATGTATACGCGAGACATAACACAAAAATACGAACCATGGATATTGAGGGAGCTTTGTCAACCATAACACACTTTTTGTGACTGTCCTTTATAATTCAGGCATTTGTAAAAATTCGAAAATTTAATAGTAATCCTGCAATCGTGCCTGCAACATAATAACTTCAATAAAACTAATACAGTATATAACCTAAAAACTGTAAACAAAAACAAAGAACAAAAATCACTGGAATGTTCGCTACCGGATTCCCAATACACATGCAAGACACTCAATCAGGGACCCTCAACCATGATCTCAGCTCAGAAGTATCAGAACTCTCACATCACAACCAAAAACCAACATACATAACTCCAGAACCTATAAGATTATAAAGAATAATAATATGCATAATATAACTCTTGGTGAAATTTTACAAAACACACTTCTCGATTTCGCACAGACTGTTTACAAAAAACTCTTCTACATCACCTCCTGATCACGTTCCTCACCTTCCAAAAATGTGAAAATCCCTCGTTTTATCAGAAAAAAATATTTTGTGTTCGCCCCACAGGTTCGCCCTATGAATCGCACCCTAATAGTTGCCCCAAATATAGGCAACCCACTGCACACGCATTTTAATTCGCACGAATTTCAATAACGACATGAGCCACGGAGCGCCCTGCCTCCACTAAAAACCGGACATTACACCCACGCGTATTGGTGACTATAAAATGAATAATTGGCATTACCCTCCAGTAGAATATGTACTATACTTTTTCTACGACTATCAGTTGTTTTGGGTTTAACCTTGGTAAAATTAAGTACTTAATTTTGTTGATATAAAAAATTTTAACCAATTATTCGAAACATATTAATTAAAGACTTTATTTATTTATGTATAACTTTATCATACACTGAAACATTTTTGCAAGGACACCTGTATCAATTTGGATAAATGCAATGCAATACTAATAGTGCTGTATTCTCAAAATTTCGACAAAATGAAATGAGCCATTCTTGATTTAATTAATAAAATAAATTGCCTCATTTAGTTAAGAAGATCGTGCTAACCAAAATTTATCTAATCATCTCCACCAACAATTAAGTGATGTAAACTCTTTATTTGTAGTAACACATATTTGCACTTTATAACTAACATAACGCACACCTATATTTGTGGTTTATGAGTCTGCCTTGATTTTTATCACAATTACTTTGCAAAAATTTTTGTGCGCAGAGCTGGTGTTTGGGTTACATGCAAAACGACTGCCAGTGGACGTTTCGATCTTTGGATTTCTTAGAGAAGTTGAACTCTGATCGCGTTAGTTCAATCCCATCCTTGTCAACATTTTTTTTTCCACACATTGAATTTGTTTGAATATTTATCTTCAGGTGCGAGGGAAGTTCTGTCTAAATGACTTTGGACCAATTTTGATTATGTCATTTGTGTGAAATTTTGATTAACGTCTTTCAGAAACAGAGACAAAGACAAAAAAAGTGGGAGTACCTACCTACGTTGATCCTAAAAACGTATTTGTTTATTTTGAAATCTAGCAATAACTGTACTGATAAATGTATTTTGTTTTGTACTGAAAGTTGATCAAGGTCTCGTTATTATAATACTCAGCCTATATATGTACATATAATTAATAATATACTCCCTCCGTCCGAAAATATGGTATACCTACCTTTTAAATTTATATTTGTCCGAAATTATGGTATATACAAAATAATTTTGTAATAATTTTGTCGACATGTTTTACGGCACAGTTTTACATTTATATTTTATGGTGTAGTCGTCAGCATGGAATTGCTAATATTATTCATTAAAGAAATTTATAAAAAATACATTTCATATTTGATTGATTTGTAACCTGTTCGAAAATTTCAAAATTTCTGCTCTTTCTAACAAAAACTAACCTCAGTCACATCAAACATCTAAAAAAAGTAATTAAAAATAAATAAATAAAACAAAAAAACACGTCCCATGTTTTAAAACAAAAAACCTGTTTTAAAACAATTAACACCAACATCTCTACACGTGACCGCATTAATTGAATAAAAAGTTTACATAATGTTAAGTTATGCATTAATTCAAGTTAAATTAAAACGAGTTCATCAAGATTACATCATAGAAGAAAGAAAGATATCATCTGAACAAAGCACATATGAAATAAACATAATAGGCACATACGATCAAGATCAAAACACGGTGGTGTCGGAAAAGCTCCTCGTACTTGAAAATCAAATGTTCAAATTCAAGCTGTAACAAATTCTTAAACCTGTAAGAAAATATTAAACATTGAAGAAAAAATAAAGCCCTCCCATTTTTGGGTCTACGATGATATTAATTTAATCGATGAAAATGTTTGAAATTAAATTTAAATGCCATATGTGTATGAACTATTGTAAATGTCGAGTGAGAAGTTTCAAGTATGGATAGTGTAATAAATTAAATAAAAATGTCCAGAACTTTAAATATATCGTTACCAAAACTAAAGCGAATTTCTTGCCACATGTTTTACGGGAACATTTCCATTATTGTGGTTATTAGAAGCATGAACAGTTAAAAATTTTGACGTGAACTGTGAATTTACAGTTTACACAAACAGTGAAACCAAAATTACACGTGTTGATGGTATAGTTTCAGATTTGAAAATCATTAATAAACTGATTTTACACTAATTGCACTCATTGAGGGAGACTGTGGCGTCGAAATGGGTTCATTTTTGTTTAAACAAATGCCCTTTTATAAAATTACAGACCAAATTTGACCCACACTTATTCTTAGCAAAGAGTAAAACTAGAAGAAATCGTCAAAACAGGAAGTGAGTGATCTTTTAAAATTCTACCTGGATTACCAACCCCTAAATTACCAACCTAACAAGGAGTTCCATAATTCCCTAAGTGCTAAAACACGGATGATTGTCTACGCTATTAAAATGATTTTTTTTCAACCACTTAAGATTAGTAGGATGACAAATTTCGTCGACTAGACATCTGTTGATAAATTTATCAGACAGATAACATGTCTGTGAAACTACTGAACTGATTGTTGGGAGACTTTCGGGGGTGTATTTAAGAATATCGTGTAACAGTAAAACGCTAACCATGACTTGCCTGTTAATTCAATTAAAATTTGACCATATATTTCAAAATTTCCTAAGTAAATCTCATTTAAAACTGGCATGCTTATTTTTCTGTAGTTTAATAATGTATATTCAGATTTTAACTTTATATATTATTATACACTAGTAAAAAATGTTTGACGGAGAAGGATCATCTAAACGAAACAAAAATCAATAATAATTGACATTCGACTATCTTTGCTCGGAAGAGTCCTTGTGTCATTACGGAATAAAATTGTTTAACAATCTGCCAGACACGATAACAATACTACTTCACAATAGGTACTCTAGATATATAAAAAAAAATTACAATAGCCTGTTATGATATACAGATAAGTTAAGTAAAACAACAAATTTTAATAGATTTATCCGTCTCTAAATGTTCTACGTGTGATTTTTTTTGTTTTTTTTTGTGTTTGTTTATTATATTAAGTTATTACATCAATAAATGCCAATACCGATCTAAAAAAATATATTAAATACATTTTTCTTGAAAATGTGTCGTTGTATTATACTTTATATACTTTTTTATAGTTATTATTACTATACTAAAAAGTTATCTATTAATTTCCACTAAAATGTTGACCACCTCGTCACTATAATGTAGGAATGCCTGGTGGATAAAAAAAATGATTTATTATCAATATTATTATTCTAACAAAATTTTATCAAGAAAACCTTGCTTGAAACTTACAGTAGGGGCAAGTGGTACGAGATGGGACGTAAAAAAACTTTTCTTCATAATTTTGGCAAATTTAGATTTTTTCAAATCATATATTGTTTTACTGTTAGGTAAACGGTGTCGGATAATGTAATCAACCCCCAAAACTTAAAAAACAAATTTTTTAACGTAAAAAAAAAGTTGTACCACTATGTACCATTTGTCCCATAATAAACCACCGGGTGGTATACAGTGGGAAACCACAGTGTATATACTGGGACTATTCAAACGCAACTCATTATGAACAAATCTACTCACACAAAAAGTTTATAAGAATAATATATATTTTTAGTAATGTACAAGGTACATATAAGTTACAAAAGGTTGTATTGACTAAGATCTAAATTGAACGAAAGTTGTCGGATCGACCTCTGCGTCGCACCGGACACAAATGGTTTGGGCAATTTTTGAATTATGTTTTCCTTGTCAACGAAGTCTTCGTCATCTTTGTCAGGAAAAACAAATTTAGAACCAAGTAATTTTTTTTTAAATCTTACTTCAAACTCCTCATTTCGTATTGCCTTTACTTGTCCAACGTAGTGCCGAACAGTCTTTTTTGTAGCATATTTAACCAAAATGTAATCTTCTACCAAAACTTCATCTAAATTGTTATTGAAATCTTCTTCTTCTGTAAAACTCTCCATGTCTGTAGAATCATCCGCAAACTCCTATTCATTCCCGTCTTCAGAATCTGAACTTTCCTCAAATACCTTCTTCTTTACCTTATTAGGTTGCAACTTCTTCGTTTGTTTTAATAATCTTATTCGATGTTCGTCTTCAATTTTCTTTTTAACTGGTGTATCAGTTAAAATTGTTGACTGCGCTTTCTTTCTGCCTTTTTTTGTATTCTTTCTAGTAACTTTCCCAACTTGGAGTTGGGCAGATGATGCTAGTATTTTAGGGGGTCTGTGTACAGTTGTAATACCTGTTTCATCACAATTGAAGATTTGTGTTGGTTGAAAATTAAATTTGCCCAACACTTCCCGTAAATTGGTAAAAAATTGCCCAACATTATGTTTATTGAAACTAGTCGCTCTACTCAAACTAGTCGCCTCTGGAGTACGAAGTGCAAGATCGGGATTTCGTTTTCGAAAACAGTGAGCCCATTCCACTCCAGCCATTTTATTTTTTTCCCATGATTGTGGCACATTTTTTCCATTTGCTATGGCAAATCTATAGGCCAATTCCCGAGTTGATTTGAGTGTCAAACCATAGCACATTTGCGCAGCTTCAATCAAATATTGTCTTAGAAAAGTTTCTTCCTCCGTAGTAAAAACGCATTTCAAACCATGTTCTCGGGAAAAATTAAATCTCTTCTTGTTTTCATCTTCCAAACTTTTATATTTCGTAATTTTCCTATGAAGAGCAGATTTACTAACTTCATACTGGTCTGCTGCTTGTCGTATAGTCATATTTCTTGAAATAACCTCATGGACGGCATTACGTATTTTCTCTCTGCTTTCTCGTAGACGCAATTGACTTTCGAGAAACCTTTTTGCCATACTTCTCCTTGGATATTTGGGCATATTGGACTCCTACCAACATTTTTTTTTTCAGAGTTATATATGATACAACGCTTAAGTTAAGTATAATTGTCCCACTATATACCAGACTGTCCCAGTAAATACCGTCATGCATAAATGAAAATCAGGTACGATTTTATTAAAGTGATAGGGCTCTTATGAATTGCAACACATGCACTAGCTTAGATTCATGTTTTTGAAGTTATGGCGAAAAATTGCAAGAATTTCATGTATATTGAACAAAAATACGCCCATCAACATGTTTCTCGTAACCACACACAGAACAGTTCTTACCGAAATCAGTTGGTGTATCACAAAAATACTTTTAAATGGCAACCACTGCGTTATCACCCACGTTTACTAGGATGTTGTAGAACTGAATCTTAAAATTCTAGTT